CTCACTAGATCTGAGCTCGTCTGAAACCTCTTCCCACATTCAGAACATTCATAGCGCCTCTCCCCAGTGTGGATCCGCTGGTGGGAGATGAGGTGGGAGCTCTGACTGAAGGTCTTCCCACATTCATCACACTGGTAGGACCTCTCCCCAGTGTGGGTGCGATGGTGCCTTATCAGATGGGACTTCTCGCTGAAGCTCTTCCCACATTCCGCACACTCGTAGGGTCTCTCCCCAGTGTGGATCAGCAGGTGGCGGATCAGGTGGGTGCTTGTGCTGAAGCCCTTCCCACATTCCCCACACTCGTAGGGCCATTCCCCAGTGTGGGTCCACTGGTGGCGGATCAGGGCGGAGCGCCGGCTGAAGCTCTTCCCACACTCCAAGCACTTGTAGCGCTTCTCCCTGCCGTGAAGCTCCTCAAGGACTCCCAGCTCCAAGCCCCGGCTGAAGCTCTGGGTGCCTTCCTGTTGCAGGGTGGGTCTTTCCCGCTCAGAGAACCCTGGGTTTGGCATGCTGCTCATCCTCGTGTGGGATCTCTGGAAGTTTTCATCCCCGTTGGATTCCTGTGCCATGGAGACGCTGAAAACAGCCTCCTCCACGAGGTTCTGCAGGGGGTATGTGTTCTCCCTGCTCTCTGTCCTCAGCTCATTTTCTGGGGCAGGAAGCAGAAGGAGAGGATGGGATTCGCCTCCGTGCCAGAGGGAAGAGGAAGGAAATCCGCTCCAATCCATCCCCAGCAGGATGGTGTCGGCAGCTGGGTTGTCCTGCAGCCAGGGATCATGCTGCTCTTCGAGGAGAAGAGAGGAGTAAAGGGCAGTGAGTTCCTCCTCACCTGCCTGGGGGTCCTGGAACATCTTCCTCTTCGTCACAGCCTCCTCCTTTATCCGGCCACGGTTTGGGAATGAGAAATCCTGGTTTAGGGGGAAAACAAGGTGTGAGCAGGTTGGYTTGGGGGCTGCTCCTGTCCGAGCCTGTCTCTAGAAGTCACCAGGTGTATCATGACTGTAAAAGCCTCTAAAACACTGTTCTGGTTTTAACTGGCAGGA